TCCTTCCCCGGTGACACACCGACTTCTCCCTTGGCCTCACAAAAGAAATGCATCTGGCCTACAAGTCCCGCGCGGCTCGTGCCCACCTTAGGCCCCAAATGACTTGTTTCGCTTTGAGTCAACTCCTGTTTGGGCCTCCTCGAAGTCTCCAGCCGCTGTCGCGAACAACCTAGGACGGCAGTACGGTCGCCGAACAGGATTGCGCTCCTTCGAGCTACAGCGCCAGGGCGGGGGCAGAGCATGGGCCCGTTCTTGCAACTCCCAGCGGTGTCCTCGTCGAGGGGCCGTCGGCCCCTCCTTTCCTGGCCTCTTCTCCCGGGGAACTCAGCCCGGCTGAGTGACAGCAGCTTGCGCTCTAATGGGCCCCCGATGCTGAGTCCTAATTAGCTTGGACCCTCACTCCCCTAAGGCCGCTGTTCCTCAGGCCTCCCTCTCTGCACCGCAGTCGATTTTCTGGGATTGGGATAGAAATGGTGGCTTCTAATCAGAGGAAACGTTTCTCCTGGCTCTAGGCTGCTGGCGAGTTCAGTGGGAGACCCCAAGGGCCCAGCTAGGCCTCATTGCCTTTTCTATCTCTCTTGTTTTGCACCTTCTAAGGCCAGTCAGGCGCTGACCTTGGCAGCCCATAGGGTTGGCCTTGGCAGCCTCTCTGCTCTTGGGGTGGGGGTAGTTTTGCCTCACCACCCAGGCTGTGGTCCCACTTCCCAAGGGTTCAATCATAAGCCTGCTAGGCCATGTTACTTCTGTTTCCCAAAGATAGGCCGGCAGCTCAGGAAGCCTTCAGTCTTCTAGGTTCCATTACAGGGTGGTAGGTAGTAAGGTGTGGCTCCAGGAGGCCCTGGTTGGCCACAGGTAGAGCTATTACCCTTATAGCTCCCAGGAGTGATTCCTCCTTAAGTCCTCCTGCTTCAATGAAGTTTGTCGAAGGATTTTGTTCAACAATTGTTAACTGGCCCTGAGACCTCTGCATCTTGAGCAAACAGACCACAGCTGGGGCCATAGGGCGAGGCCCTGACCTGCTTCTCTGGCCACAGCCGGACAGGGGTTGCCTCTGCCCCTCACCTGCTGACTAACTCCGCCAGACGCAGACACAGCAGCTAGGCAGGACAATGGGCTGCAGGGAGAAGAATTTCCCTACTCCCTAGGACTAGTGCCCTTACCTCAGAAGGCAGGGCATCCTCCTCCTGAGGTCCCTGCTTGGACCAACTGTATGATGATGTCAGGATCTGGGGGTGCGGCTCCACAGGCTCTATCTTCCTCCAACTCCCATCAGAAGGAGGCACCCAGGCCCCAGGCCCCAGGCTGAGCTATGGGTGTGGACTGTGGGGGCAATGAAGTCAGTGAAGGGTGGAATTGAGCCTTCCTCCCTCTCCCTTGGCTTCAGTCAGAGGAGCCCAGCTCTGAACTTTGGAGAGAGGACACAGCTCTTTATGGCCTATCCCAGTGGTGGCAAAGCTATGGCACATATGTGTGCCCAAAGCAAGTTGTTATCATTGAAAGCTCTACAAGGTTTGCCACCATTGGCCTAGTCCATTTTCACAAGGTATCTGGCCACAGGAGGCAAAGGCTGAGCTATACATAGAGAGGGTGCTTCCCAGGAAGTCCAGTTAGGGAGGGCCAGGGACTCTCACCTTTTCCTTCCAAGTTGAGATCCCCAAGATGAAATCGGTCTTGGTTAGGGGGAGGGTAACATGGGGAAGCATAATTGTCTGGCATTTGCCCTTAGCTCCACCTTTTACCACACATCTTGGCTGAATCTCTGGCAGCATCAGACACCTCCTTTCAAGGAGGTATCCAGGGACTGGGAGTGCCCCTTCACACTATCCTCCTTGTGGTTGCCTTACCTACCTGACAGCCTGGATGCACAAAGGCCACAGGAGTGAGTGTGCACATCCGTACTGCACTTCCACACAGGTACACATACACATATGTGCTGGCTGGTAGGGGATAGGAGATGTGTTTTAAGCCCACTGAATGTCAGGCCAAAGTGAGATGCACAGCACAGCACACCTCTGGGTGGGGACATGGAATCGAATGGTCTGCCTAAGGGACCATGAGCCAGGCCTTTCAGGGACTACTTTGTGACTCTGCCCACCTCCAGCTGCTCAGTGTGAGGGGCATGCATCTCTCACTATGATGCATTTAATGCAGTTATTGAGCACCTGCTGTGTGCCCCTCTAGGTTCAAGGCTCTGGCAGTGCTCCAGGCAGGCACAATAGTTTCTTTATTTGGAAATCTTGATGCCTGCTGTGTGGATAGCAAGGTCTTCAGACCTTTTGGCAAAGCCCCTTATCTCTATGGGCCCTGAGCACCAAAGGGGCTGAGGCTAGTGGGGACTGCCAGGGGAGTCTGTTGTTAGGCACTTTTGAATGATGGAGGGGTGAGGAAGGCACTGTCTGAGAGAAGGCTATGGCCTGTTTCTGGGGATCTGGAGAGACGCTACTTTTACCCAGCTACAATCTCCCATTGCTCACTATCCTAGTTTAAGTAGAGGTTTCTGGCACACACACACACACACACACACACACACACACACACACACACGTACATGGAGGGCAGGGGCAGCAATGTTCCCCTGGCTTTGCTGTATGACCTTGGGCATGGCTTGACCAGCACCGTGCCTCAAGAAACTCAGTCCAAAATGGGGCTGTACCTTCTGCTTCAGCGTCCAGCTCACTTGCTGAAGGATCAGACAACAGAAGAGGAAGAAGGGGGCTTACTGGACCATGTACCCTATCTCTACCCCCCATCCCTCTCTAGCCACACAGAGCCAGCAACCATTCTGTGATTTTCAAGAAATTTGGGGATTAGGGTCTTGAAGGGGGTAGGTAGAGAAGCCAAGGCTATTGTGTGGGTTGAAATAGTTACCGCAAGGACCCTTTCTAAAGCTGGCTGACTCAAAACAGACTCTAGGCCCAAAGAATGATTTAGTAATTTAATTTAGGAAGGGTGGTCATAGGGTCCTCATGGTGGGGGGGAGCCTTTCACCCACCCATGGGGGTACCCGGCTCTAATCCTTACTCCCAGAATCAAGGGATTTTAGGAAAAAGGAAAGAATGTGCCATGTCCTGCCCCAGGGCCATCCGTGACTCTCTGGGACATTCCAGTCCTAAGCCTCTTAGGCCGCAGAGAGGTTCAAACTAGAAAACCCAGTTTTGGGAGTGCAGCAGGACCACCTACCTCTGCCCAACCTAAGACCCCCCTCCCTAATAAAAAGTTCTTATTTTTGGAATATAAGCAATTACTGGCTGAGGGGACAGGGAATGCTCAGGTAGAGGCCAGAACAACCTGGGTGGATTCAGTAGGCGTCTTAGGACCCTAGACTGAATCTTCCTGCCAACTGGGGTTCCCCAGCATGTCCGAAGGGAGAGCTGGGATGTATTTTGAGCTGGACAGCTGGCTGCCAGTGGTGCACAATGGGAATATGGAATGCGGAACTTTAAGCGGCTGGTAGGGCCCATGGCTCTCTTGGCCCATCCTCACCACGATGCCTGCAGGACTCTGTCTGGCTTCTGAGAATGGCTGAGCTGAGGGAAAGAAAAGGCTAGGAAAAGTACTGTAGCAGCATGGTCACAGCTGGGAGCAGAAGGCCAGCTTGGGTTGTCCCGCAGCCTTCTCTTTCTAGTAGCCACTTTCCTGGGAGAAGTATACCCAAAAAGTCAGTCTTGGTGGTCAACAAATGTTTCCTCTGCATCCTAGAATCTTAGTGGCCTGGTTACCATGTTCCAGTTCCCCTCTTCTTCCCTGGCAGAGATGTGGAAGCCCAAAGCAGCCTGGGGAAAGGGAAGGGGTATGGCAAGTCCTCTCCAGTGCTGTTGCCGCTGCCTGTAGCTTTTGCCCCTACCCTAGATGTCTGTCCTTTGCCATGGCTACAGACACCTATCAAGGATGGACAGAAACCTGGAGTTTTCTCTCTTTGGCCTTGGTGGCTTTCATAGGTCACTGGGATGCTAAGAGAATATCCAAGTCGTAATTTCTCTAAGTGGGCTCATATATTTTTCGGACTCAGGGAATTCTTAAGGGCCAGAAAACCTTGGGACTTGGATTTCAGCCTGGGGTTCCCATTACTGGGATCTGGGCCTTGGGGCCCTGGCTTTGCTACAGCATAATGTCGACAATTTAGGTGGTCAATTTCAGAATTTGGAGACCCGGTTCTAGAGTAGCGGCTGTGTACTCAAAGACACTGTGTCAACAACCAAGCCCTGAGATAGCCGCGGAAACGTCTTTATTGGACTTTGAGAAGAGCACTTTGGTTTTCTTTCAGGGGAAGGAAAAGCCCAGATCCTGCCATCAAGGGCAGGCCGCCCCGGAATGGAGGCACCTCCGAGCGTGGCAGCCGGACGTCGGGATCCGGGGCGAAGAAAGCCGGGGCTCTGGCTGATGTGTGATGATTTTCTGCGGCATTGCTTGCTGCCCGAAAGAACTAACGAATGAAGCGGTTTCTTTTGGGAATAATACCCTCTTGACGCGAAGCTACAGCCAAAGTCCCAGGCCCTTCAGGGGGGCCAAGGTTTCCACTGGCGGCGGGGTCCCCATCCCTAGGCGCAGCGAGGAGCAGCGGGCGGCCCTCTCGCTGATCCCTTCCTCGCCGAGGCCCCCTGCGTCTGGCGCCGCCACGAGAGGCTAAGGGCTTCCCGGGCTTCGCCTTCGCAGAGCCGAAGCCCGAGTCCCCGAGGCTGCTGCCCTTTTGGGGTGGCTGGGGCCGAGGCGCTGGGTAGGCACGCAGGTTAGGTGAGGTAGTACCAGTGACGGCACGCCCGGGGCGCAGGAACGAGCTCCTCGCGCTGCCTCGATGGCGCCCGACCTTCCGCGCATTGCGCTCCGTCCCGCGCTGCTGGCCGGACCCCACAAACGCCAGGAGCAAACGGTGCAGACTTAGCCGCCACCTCCCTGCGCCCCTTCACCGCGGAGACCCCGCGCCTCTAGCTGAGACTCTTACCCCACCTGGACAGCACTGCGTCTGCGACTCGTCGGGTCCGGGCTCGCCCGCCGCGGACTGTGCCTCACGTTTCAGCTCAGGCTGGGGCCCCTGATCCAACTTGGCTTCAGGCTGTGCGCGCTGCTACGGTCCCTGCCGGTTCGCTACATCGCAGCACGAAGGGTCG